TTATTTGAAGAAGGGTTTGGGCTAGGGGACCAAGCCTTTCTTGTACTAAGTAGCCATGCAGCTAAGCACTGTCTTTTTTTTTTTTTTTTATAAATTGCACTTATTAAAATTTTATGTTCCAAGTCTTGATGTCAGAAGTGATGTTTTCTCTCTAGTGCTTTCTCTCAAGCTGCAGACCAGCCTGTTCTGAGCTCAGTAAGCATCAGGCTCACCTAGCATGCATGCGGAAAGGCTCCAGATTGCCTTGGCGGTGGGATCAGGGCCCCGGAATCTGTGCCTTCACACACATCCCAGGGGACCGACTGGGTGTCCCCAGGACCATGCTTTGAGAAACACTGCTGTAGCAGGGGTGAAGGGGGAGGGGGTGTTTTCAGTCTCTGGGTAACTTTGCTTGCTTGCTCTTTTTTCCTCCCCCAAGGAGGACCAGTAGCCATCGTTAAGAGGACGGTTTCCTTGGTTGCACTATTTTAAATAAGGAAACAAGGAAGTTAGCCTACAGCCGGGAACGTGACGGCGTGGGTGGGGGTGGTGGTATTTCTGCGCCGTCTCCTGGGAAGGCATATGCTCATTTGGAGACTGTGAGACGGGCAGGAGAAGCGGGTCTGAGTTGTGTCCGTGATGGGAGCTGGGGGGTCAGGTGGTCCAGGTGAACAAACAGCCGCCCGTGGCTAGCTGGGGAGAGATAGGCTGAGGGTAGCCTGGAGGCAGGTAGCTGGACAGAAGTCTCCAGGACAAAGCTAGTGTCTTAAAGTTTGCTTTAACCATTTGATCAGCCGTGCGGCGTTGGATGGGTTTTTTAATTCTCTCAGTCTCTGATTCCTCATTTTGAAATGGGAAACAATTTGTACTTAGTGGCAGGTTTAAATTGTAAAACCTAGAAATAAGTGCATAAAGCATCTGGCCCAGTCCTTGGAGCACTATAAACATTCGGTGCATGATGAAAGTCATTACCGATGGACGGAAATGGCTCCTGTGTTTCTTCAGTACCGGCTAGATTAGGGCTCTAAAGTCATCTAGAAGCCTCTTGATACTCTATAGGAAATAGAGTGAGGGGGTATATGCACAAACGACTCCATGGTGCGGGGGAGAGGGGCAGAAGATCCATAGCTTCCTTCAGATTCTCTGAGGATGGTTTTCCATATACATTTGAGCAGGTTGTTGACTGAACAAAGGGACAAAAGGGAGGCTGCAATCCAGCCTTGTGCTCAGAGGGGTGGCCCATCTGGAGGAAGAGGCAGCATTTTATAATTTCCACAAAGCCATGCTGTGCCTCAGGTTAAGAATTTCTGAGTTGGAGGAAATCGCTTTCACCTCCGATCTTGTTCGTTGTAGGTAGGGCCCCAACCTCCGGGCCTGTGTCACTTCCTCTGCTGGTTCCTATTCCCATGGGAAGGGAGCTGCCGGGGGAGAAGGGGAGAAACCACAGGACTAGCAAAAGGAAGGAAAAGATTTAACTTGAAGGAAACTAATTAGAAGAAGCAGCTTGAGAGAGACCATAATTATTGGGTAGTTCCTTGCACTACATCTGTCTGGATGGCTGTGGGGCGGCTCTCCCAGGAGGCCCGTCCCTCCATGGCCATGAGCGACGAGGTAATGTGGGTGGTTCGGGCCTCTTCGACCAGGGCCTGTAGGTGGGGAGTCCGACTTCTCCCTCCTCCACAGCTTGACAATGATTTTTTTTTTTTTTTTTAGTTGCAAAATACACCTAACAAAGTGTATCGTGGCTGGTATTTATACACCCATAGCATTGTGCGACCATCACCTCTGTCTGCTTCCAGAACATTTGCATCACCCCAAAAAAGAAACCCTGTACCCATCCTCCCCCCTTCCCTCCCGAGCCCCTGGCAACTGCTAATCTGCCTCCTGTTTCTATAGATTTCCCTATTCTGGGCATTTCATATAAATGGAAGCGGGCAGTATGCGGCCCTTTTGTGTCTCTAGCTTACGGCTCGTAGCTTGGTTTCCGGGTTCCTCCGTGCTGGAGCGTGTGTCAGCACCTCGTTCCTTTTGATGGCGGGTATTTCTTTGTTTGGAGGCACCCCATTTTGTTGACCCGCTCATCCGTCGATGGACCCTTGGGTGGTTTCTGCCTTCTGGCCGTTGTAGACCGTGCTGCTGTGAATACGGATTTACGGTAAGCGTTGGGTGCCATTTTCAATTCTCCTGGGTACGCACCCAGTTGCGTCTGTGTCTTTTGACTCCCGATGTGGTTCAGGAGAGTGGGACTGTGGCTGCCCTGGTGGGCAGGGGCAGAGCACAGGGAGGTTACAGGCAGAGGGGGCAGCCGTGGCTGTGCTGGATGGGGGATAGGTGACAGACACCCTTTGCTACGTTGGCCCATTTTGGAAATAGGCTGAAGTTGGCCCTTCCTGGCTCAGAATCAGAGGTCCTCCCCGACAGGTGTCTTCTGTAGGGTCCAGGCAGGGAGAATCCTGCGTTTCCTAGATGGGTAAGACCTCAAGGCAGTCAGGGTACCTCTGTGTTCATCAGTGTCCTATAATGGAAGCCAAGGCTTAGTCTGATCCCACAGAGTTAGATGAATCCCCTAGAGTCATTCTTTTTTTTTTTTTTTTTTTTTAATGTTTATTTATTTTTGAGGGAAGGGGAGGGGCAGAGAGAGGCAGACAGAGGATCCAGGGCGGGCTCTGCACTGACAGGAGTGAATCCAATGCAGGGCTGGAACTCACGGCCCGCGAGATCATGACATTGAGCCAAACTCAGACACTTGACCTATTGAGCCACCCAGGTGGCCCCTAGAGTCATTCTGAAGACGAAAAGCACTGTGTAGCCATGGACACGGGACAGGTGTCGTTGTTTGCTGTGTCACAGGTAGGCCATGGAGGGTCAGAAGTTCTCTCCTCTCCCTCAACCGCCCCCCCCCCACCCCACAAGGAGCTAGCGGTCTGCTCACCACCCGGCCTCCGTGTTCGTCACCCTCTTAACATGTTAGCCTCCCCAGTGGGTGGGTGTTTGCCCTTTGAATTGCACAGTCTTGGACACAGAGGTCTGGGGAGGAGCGACAGTTAACGGTGACATTGTTTCAGACGTGGTAGAGTGCTAGGCTGGACTGTGGGCCCCTGAACTTCACATCCAGGGGGCAGAGGCTGCGTGAAACCAGGTCTCACTGGGCTCTTAAACGCGTCCCTCCCGCCGGGAACCCTCAGCTATGAGGCATCTTGGTGACAGAGACTCTCCTAGGTGCTGAGTGCATTATCGTTCATGTCCATGGCGCCTTCCGCAGCAGGGCTCCTGTCTTCCCCCTTGGTTTTGTGGATGTACAGATAAAAGCAGTTGACTGAGTCACTTCCCCAAGTCATGTGGCTGCTCAGGGGCTGAGTCAGGATTGAGCCCCAGGCCAGAGGGCCGTTTCCCCTTTGCTTCTGGGTCCCTCTCTCCTCTGTACCCTATTTCTGGCCGTGTCCGTCTCTGACCCTTGCTTAATACCCTTTAACAATTGCCCATTTCCTCCCCGGGGCTGCTAGGAGAAGCACCAAATATGGCCTTCCCTTCTTGGATGCTCTAAGACACCTGACTCCACAGAAGCAGCCTACCGTCTTACCCCCTGGGTTCTAGAATATTCCTCTCTTACGTGAAGCCTCATAGCCTCCTGATTCCTGTAATACTCCCAGCTCCACTCAGCCAAGATGCACATCTCCTGTATGTGGGATATTTTATCCACACACACGTGTGCACCTGCACACTGGACTCCTCCTAAGACCGTTTGCTGTGTGTGTGTTTTGACCACCTGCTGATGTGGGAGGAGCCGAAGCAGGTGTCTGGAGATCCAGGTAAACGTGATCAGGTGTGTGTTGGGATTCTGGACATGCCCTGCTGGGGAGGAGGCCGCCTGGCCGCTGTCCGGCACCTGGTGGCTGGGACACCTGTCCGTACTGAATCGAAGACGCACTGTGGGTTAAAAGCCGTGGAGACGGAAGTTGGCCATGGGGAGGCCGTGTTTACTCAGGGTCCCGGGAGCATCTAGGATTGACTGGGTCCCTGCTGAGGGCGTGCAGGGCACATGTACGTGGTTTTGCAGCCTTAAGAAAATACAGGAGCAGGAGAGCCAAGGAACCATGTGTCTGCACTGCTTACTTTTTTTTTCTTTTTTAATGTTTATTTATTTTTGAGAGAGAGAGAGAGAGACACAGAGCATGAGCACAGGAGGGGCAGACACAGAGGGAGACACAGAATCCGAAGCAGGCTCCAGGCTCCGAGCTGTCAACACAGAGCCCGACGCGGGGCTCGAACTCACGAACTGTGAAATCATGACCTGAGCCGAAGTCGGATGCTTAACTGACTGAACCACACAGGCTCCCCTCTCTGATTTTTATTCTTATTTATTTAAAAAATTTTCTTAAAACGTTTATTTATTTTTGAGAGAGACACAGAGAGGGTAAGCAGGGGAGGGGCAGAGAGAGAGGGAGACACAGAATCGGAAGCAGGTTCCAGGCTCTGAGCTGTCAGCACAGAGGCTGACGTGGGGCTCGAACTCATGAACCGCGAGATCATGACCTGAGCCAAAGTCAGACGCTGAACTGACTGAGCCACCCAGGCACACCTCTCCAATTTTTATTTTTAAGAACACTGGTCCCCCTGGTCAAAAGAATTAAACCCCACCGTAAGCGCACGTGAGCAAAAGGGAGTCGCGTTTTGGCCTGTGAGCCCGGGTCTCTCCAGATCTCCCCCAGAGAGATTTGGACACAGGACCAGAAAAGCCCCCCCTTGCCCTCCGTCGGTTCTCGGTGTTGTCTGAGAAGCTTTTGCATCGCGCTCTGCTGAGACTTGCGTTAATTGCTTCTGGTAGGTTCACACAGCCGGCCTCGGGGCCTCGTCTGCTGCTGTCCTCAGGGGTCCCGAGGCGCTCTGGCTTCAGGTTCTGCAGCCGGGGGTGTGCAGAGTGATGGGGCCCCAGAGCAAGCACAGGTGCAGGCCCTGTGAGTGCCTGACCCCGACAGCCCCCCGTGCCCACGGTGTGTGACCTTTTCTCTCCTCTTCCACAGAAACCTGGAATGGTCCCCCCACCGCCGGGAGAGGAAAGCCAGATTATCCTCCTTCCGCCTGGCTGGCAGAGTTACTTGTCTCCTCAGGGTCGGCGTTACTATGTCAACACGACCACCAATGGTGAGTCCCGCTCTGGGAGCAGGGTGGCAGGGGGACCTTGCACCAGCCTCCCTCGGGGTTTCTGTCCTCCTCTGGCGTGTACCGACCGATGCTCAGACTGTTTCTTCAGAAACCTACCTCCGGGGCTGTGGGGGGACTCTTGCTTTCCCCACGGTGCCGGGTGGTGGGGGTCCGTGCCGGATGGGGAGGGCCGCCCTTCAGGGTTGGGGGTCATCTCTGGAAACTCACAGCCACCCCCGGCATCTCCGTCGAACCCAGTCTCATGGTCTGGGGCCAGTTCCCAAAGCGGGACCTCAGAAGGTTCTCAGGTCAACATCTGGTTTAAGCCGAGTAAGCCAGGTTTAGCTACTGTAGGATCCTCTGGGAGTGTGGCCTGTGCTAATAAGACGGAAGCTTCCACACAGGGGTTGCCGGTGTGGGGTTTCCCTAATTTGACTGCAACATCTTCCCCGAAGTATCCCACTGGCTCGCGTTTCTTGGGATGCTCATTGGGAAATTCTGGGGTTACTTGCGAATAATTTTTTTCTAACAGAGGACACGGGTCCCATGTGCAGTTCTGAGCTGAGTGAGGACCACACCTCCTTGCACTCGGTTGTTGTGGACTTCCTGGGCCTCACGGTGACTCCAGGACCCCCCAGCATGCGGGCTGTAGAGTGGGGCTTGCAGGAAGGCTAGGGAAAGTGTATAGAAGGAGCAGCAGTAGGTTCTAGAACAGGGTGGTCTTGGGCAGGGCAGGGCAGAGCAAATGCAGCCAGAGGGCTCTGTCTCTTGGCCTCCACACCTACCCAGAGGAGGGAAACACAGAAGGTTCGATGTGGGGCGAATCACAGATGTGTGTGTCAAGGCGGGATGTGAAATACAGTCTATGTCCACGTGTCGGCCCTGCCTTGGTCCTTCACCTCCCGTGTCTGCGCCCACCTGACTTAACGGTCACCTCTTCCGACCCAGTGGGACCGTTACTATGGCCCGTGATTTCAAGGCCACCCTCGGAGGGGTCCTGGTAACGGGGAGCCAGCCTTTCAGAGGGAGCAGCAGAGAAAGCAGCTGCCACTAGGGGTCGCTGGTTTGTGTTCTCGTCCCCTGCGGGCTTGAGGGGCTTGTTCCAGCAGAGGCGGTAACTGGGGTTTCTAGGAAAAGGGAAGTAGAACTATTTCTGATCGTTCTAATCTTAAGCTTCCTCCAAACACACACTCGAATGGCCTTGCACCGTGGTCGGCCTTTGAAGTTTCAGAGGAAGTTCTAGGCGCACAGCATGATGCCGACCGAGGTCCTCAGGGTCTTGGATGGATTCTCGTCCTGAATCAGCCCACTCTATTGCCAAGGAGCTGAGTGAGGGTGGGTGGTCAAGAGAGGCTTGGTAAAATCTGCATTTATTTTATTTTATTTTATTTTATTTTATTTTATTTTATTTTATTTTATTT